CAGAGGCACACTGGAGATTCTGTAAGTTCTTCCTGCTGTGGGGCCTCCAGACGCTGCCTTTGTTCCTGTCTTGTGTCGAGGCCTGGCCTCTAGCTTCCCATTTATCCCATGAGTTCCTGGCTAGTGTTCTGTTAAAGTCTCCTTTGCTTAGGTTAGCCAGAATCCATTTCTGTTATTTTCAACAAAAGAAGTTCAACTGTTACTCTGAGATCCAAGACTTTTTCAATACTGTCACAGTTTTGCATATTTAGCTCTGAGTTCTGATAGGCTAAATAAGATACTGCTGCATGAGATACTACCTTCAAAATGTCAATTTCATCCAAAAAGCTACAGATTAGTGCAATTACAAGACAGCATATTAGCAGTATTATTAATTTATTTATGACCCATCATGTTCCAAAAGGATTTCATTGTGTTAAATTATCCTACAAAGGTACAGCAAAAAAAAACAAAAACAAAAACAAAAAACAGAAAACATTTAAAATAAACGAAAATGAGACAAAGAGAAAATAAAGATAGAAAAGTAAGATGTGAACCTAATCCATAAAATGGTTACACTGAAGGCCTAATGGGTAGAGAAAAGATGCAACAACGTGTGAGGGTCACAAGCTACGGTTGTTGCCATGGTATTTGGCAACAATTGAAATAGACCTTCTCAACCTGCATTTTTGTTAAAAGAGCTTGTAATCTCTCTACAATAAAGATAATTAAGCAACTTGCTACATAGAGGGAACTGCCTAACCAAATAACAGAAAAAACAATACATTTACTTGAAGTCAATATGTTATCATTTAAGTAAAAAAAAGTCCTTAGGAAATCTACTTTAAATTTTTTTGTTGTTGTTAATATCATTTTAAAAACCTACTTTAAGCTGTTGTGCTGTATTTTAAATTAATAACTTATTTTGCTTTACACAATAGATGGACTTGGAAAACTACTTTTATAATCTACTAGAAGCCCAGTGCATGAAATTTGTGCATGGGTGGGGTTCCTGGGCCTGGTCAGTGATCAGGGCCAATTTGTGGGGCGACCAGCAGGGCGAAAGGGGGGCCCCCCGCTGGCACCCACCTTGGCTGGCCTGGAGCCTGTGAGCTGGGGCAGCTCCTGCATTGAGCATATGCCCCCTTGTGGTCAGTGCGCGTCATAGCGACTGGCCGTTCCACTATTCGGTTGATTTGCATATTAGGCTTTTATTATATAAGATTTTTATAAATTGAAATATTTTAAACAGAATAAAGGAACTACTATTTAAAAGAACACCTATAGTCAATCCTTTTGCAAATCAAACATTACTTTCTTATTATTTTTCATCATGTAGAGTTTTCACATATTATGGAAAGGCTGGTTCCCCTTCTGCAGTTTTTATAAAAGAAGTAAAGCCCATATTTTAAATGCAATGCTGCATAAAGACATTTCTCATCCTATATAATAAAAGGCTAATAAGCAAATAGACAGAATGGTGGTGGAACAACCAGAACAACTGAACAACTGAACAGTCACTATGATGTGCACTGACCACCAGGGGGCGTGTGTGGAACAGGGGGGGTGTTGGTCGTGGGATGGTGGAGCAGGTGAGCAGGAGCGCCAGACCAAGGTGGGGTGCTGGTCGCTGTCATCTGGGGAAGCCTCTAGTGGTACTGAAAATTCTTTGCTCCCTCGCACCACAGTCCCACAGGCTGCTTGCACCTGCTGCCGGCACCAGTCCCATTTGAACCTGCTGCTGACGCTGGAGCTGCTGCTCACACCCACTGCCAGCACTGGCCCCACTTGCACCCATAGCCTGTGCCAGAGCCACTGCTCGCACCCACTGCTGGTGCTGGTCCCGATCACTCCGTGCCATCAGTGGGTGTGAGCGGTGGCTGCCAGCCCTGATCACCCTGAGGCTTCTCCACCTCCCCCTGCTTCTGAGGGACAATTGGGGCAGCAGCCGTCACTCACATCCACTGAGGGTACTAGCATCGGCCCCGCTTGCACCCGCTGCTGGCACTGGCCCCAATCACTCCACACCAGCAGTGGGTATTAGCGGGGCCCAGTGCTATCAGCATGTGAGAACAGTGGCAGTGGGAGCAGGCTGCAGGCAGACTGGGGACAGGGGCTGTGGTGGGAGGGGCCAGGTGAGAGCACGGAGGATGGGCCAAAACCTGCTCCTGGCCCACCGCAGCCTTGGGGCCCACAGTTCCTTTTAAGGTGCACAAATTTGTGCACTGGGCCCCTAGTATATAATCAGATGGTAAACACAATCATAAGATACTGATCTTCATTATTATAAAGAAGATTTACCCTATTTTAATATTCGTCGCATTTTTTAAATACCATAACTTTTCCAAAAAGGATCTGAGGCAACTATTGAATACATCACAAGTGCCACCTAGAGCTTTCTTTGAAAATAACATTTTTTATCTTCACAAACAAGAACAAAACAACGTATACAAGGCTCATAGCCCTAGAGCAGAGCTTGCTTAAATAGCTCTACTTCCTGTTCCGAGCAGTCAGAGCATTGGCCTAAGCACCAAAGAATCCCAGTCAAGGGCACATACCTGCTTGCAGATTTGATTTCTGGCCCAGGTCGGGGCCTGTGGGAAGCAATCAATTGATGTGTCTTTCTCACATTGATATTACTCTCTCTTCCCCTCCCTCTCTCCATTCCACTCTCTCTAAAATCAATGGAAAAAATATCCTTCAGTGAGGACTAACTAACTAACTAACTCTGCTTCCTAAAATAGTCTGTTTATTTTTAATCAAAAAAGGATTTGAAATAAGAATCTAGAATTAAGTTTATTTGACTTTGGTCAGATCTCCCATTACTATTTGGTTTTAATACTACATAGATATAGATGGAGTTAAGTAAAGTGTATTAAAGGAAGGAAAAATCAAGGTGTTTCACTAAAGAAGTAATAGCTATATTTTCAGAAAGTGTTTTCTTCTAACTCCCAATGGGAGCTGACATCTCACTAAAGCTGTAATTATCAATTATTTATGCCCCAAGTCACTGCTCTTTCCATTTTTCTTATCTTTAAGGCATTGGGACATTGTCACCGTAGTCATTACAACTACTTCACCACCCACAATCCCAGTCCTAGCAGTGTTGAGAGGCTATTGTTGTAGGACCTAGTGCTGGTGGTAAGGAAACAAACACAGGCTTTAGTATCTACAAGCAAGGAGATCAGTATGGACTTGGAGAGAGCAAAAGAAAGGAGGAGCCGAAACCGGTTTGGCTCAATGGATAGAGCATCGGCTTGGGGACTGAAAGGTCCCGGGTTTGATTCCGGTCAAAGGCATATACCTTGGTTGCGGGCATATCCCCAGTAGGGGGTGTGCAAGAGGCAGCTGATTGATGATTCTCTCTCATCGATGTTTCTAACTCTATCTCTCTCCCTTCCTCTCTGTACAAAATCAATAAAATATATTTTTTTTAAAAAGGAGGAAAGAGGAGGAGGGGGGGTGGAGGGGAGGGAGAAGGGGAAGGGGAGAATGCTGATGGAGGAGGGAATGTATGTGTATCATAATGATACAGCAATAGCAGATGAAAAACCATCACCATTTTTCCAGTTCACTGACCAGGAAGTATAGAGCCATCCTGCCCCTTTGTTCAGTCCTGTGCCTGAGTCCTGTAATTCTCTTTTGAAACACCTTTCTGATGTGCTCTCTTTTCCTTCCTATTGTCTGTTTATTCCTTCGCCTCATGACTGAAAAATTGCAACAGACTATCCCTTCAGCTTCATGCCTCTTCTCCTGCCAGCTAACATTACTGAAATGTTGCCTTTAACTTTTCATTTTCTTTCTCTAGAACTAGTTACTGCTCTCTTGTGCTTATCAGACCATGGACACAAATATCTGAGCCTAGCTTTGAAGGTTTTCTGTAATTTAAACAGACTTTATCCCTTCAATTTGATGGAACACTACACTCCAACATCAAATTTTTATTCCTGAAGGGTGGGTCTCTCTATACTTTGAACCAAGGGACATACTACGCTTTTATTTCCTTTTAAAAATTGTGAAAGATTTCTGGTGTTTCTTCTTTTTTGCAATTGTGCCATTTACCTTTATAATAGTTTCATCTTTTCCCCCCAGATATTTCATTATATTAGTTATTCTATCAGTTATTCCCATTCCCTTCCTCTACACAATCTCTTCCCGCCCCCCATACACTCCCTCCTGAACATCACATTCTTCTCTAATCTCTCATCATGCCCTTCAGCAAGTAATATTTGAACTTCCCTTTCTTTCTCTGGGGTTTGTTTCACTTTTTCCTGAGTCACTAGTCTTGCTCTTTCATTTCTCCTTGTTTTACTGCAGAATATTTTCAGGCATCCTCAACAAAATGAGCATGTAGGAGGAGGTAAATGTTTCAAGTCCTTGCATGTCTGATAGGTCTTCATTCCACTCTTACACCTCACTGTGTTTGTCTGGGTATCATAATCATGTTGCCAAGAAATATGGTACTTATTTCCTCCTGGTTTAGTACCGGTGTTTGTTGAGGAGAAGTATGATGTCTGTCTGATTTGAGATGCTATGTCCCTCATGATTTGGGTACAGGATCTGGAGAAGGACCATGTGCAAAAGATGAGACTAGATAAGAAATATGAATTTGGAAATTAAGGGGTGCCAGGCGGAGAGTCCAACTCTAGGGGAAAGACTTCACTGGTGACCAGGCCCTGCCAACCTTTTATTCAATTTTAGATAGACATTGTCCTTAGGCAATTCCAGTAACAGACAGACTATCTTAAAGGACAGTAAATATTAGTAAAGATTTGCTTTGAGACTATTTGGTCAGGAAATCGCTTGAGCCACCATTGTCTTGACTAAACAATTGGTGCATATATTTGGCCCTTGCCAGAGCTCAAGGTCCACCAGCATTCTGCGTTCCTTGTTTACACTTTTCTGACAATGAAGACAATGGGTAGCTCCAATAGTCTGACTTTTGTTCTTTTGTGATGTGGCAGATGAAAAGTTCTATCAGGTCAAATCCTAACAATTGTTTTTTGTTTTTTATTTTAAAGCTGAGCCCCATGGATCTGCATTATGCATTTAATGCTAACTAATGACATTTCAGAGCCTGGTTCTGAAAATACAGAACTTTAAATTAAAATAAGAAGCCTAATAAAGAATGAAAAAGATGTTTCCTCTTTACTGAAGCTATAAAGAGAGACATCTTTTCTCATCTTAAAACTTGGTCTCAGGATTCGATGAGGTAAGATCTTAAATTTGAATTCTCTCAGGGATATCAGTCTTATTTCCTATGCAATATGAAGATTTGTACAAATATTCACAACTGCTACCAGCTTGTTCTTTCTCATATAAACTTAACATTAGAATTACTATTTAAACAAAGCAGTCTTGTAGATACTTAGATATTTTAGAAATTGTTGTCAGGTTATGTTCACATAACCTTCAATGACACCTGTAATTCTGTCTCCTTGCTAAGACTTGTTAAGATGGTCTTATTTGTTACCCTGGTAATAATGTTGTAGTGGACACCTAGTAGTATAAACATTATCAAAGTGGTTCTGTGCAATTAGAAGAGGATCTTTAGTTCTTTCCTATTTGCACAATGAACAGATAAGTCTACTGTTCCAAAGTCCTTCAGATAACAAAAGAGTTTTAGTCTTGTGATATTTATATTTCCACATGGCTATCCACTTGCCTTGGCACCATAGACCATAGTGACAATTTCTTACATCAAGAGTTAGTTTTATAAGATACTTCATGTCTAATACCTGAGTGCTCTTCAAAACATGTTACCATTTTAGTATAATTCGCAACATGGATCATTTCTGTGTTCTTCAGAAACTTTGGGAAGGGAGAGGAATATTTGGTAACAATATAAAAAGGCAAAGTGGCTATTTCTTCCATTTAAAAAAAGTTTCCTCAGATCCATATGAACCTCTGTATTATCCTTGAAAGTGACCAAATAGACAATAAACAGGACAAAATAGACTGCAGAAATAGGCTCACACATTAAGGGTCACTTGATTTATCACAAAGTTGCCAATGAAATTCATGGGGGTAAGGTAGGGCTTTACAATATATGGTACTAGTTCAAAGAATATTTGCTTTTTAAAATTGGGTAGATATTATCAAATTATTCACCAGAAAGCTTATAAAAATTTTTACTTTCACCAACATTGTTGAAGAATACCTCATGGTTTGTTCATATAAATGTTCAAGGATGATTGAAAAGAATGGATATTATGTTATTGAGCATTAAGTCCTATTTCTATGTGGGTATATAATGCGATGCATTTTTTCTTTTCTTTTTAAAAAAATATATTTTATTGATTTTTTACAGAGAGGAAGGGAGAGAGATACAGAGCTAGAAACGTCAATGAAAGAGAAACATTGACCAGCTGCCTCTTGCACCCCCCCCCCCCACCAGGGATGTGCCCGCAACCAACATACATGCACCTGACTGGAATCGAACCCGGGACCTTTCAGTCCGCAGACTGATGCTCTACCACTGAGCCAAACCGGTTTCGGCAATGATGCATTTTTTTCAAGCAACAAGTATTTAATGGATGCCTCATACATTCTAGATACTGCTCTAGGTCCTGGGGATTTGGCTGCAGCCAAAGTGGCTACTTTCTGAGAGCTTACATTCTTATGGGGGAACAACAGAAAAATCATGTAATGTTATAGGGTTCTAAGTTGTATGAGGGAAAAACCCAGTAGGGTTAGAGAGAAGCTCGGGGTGATGGCTCTGTTTCAGATAGAAGAGTCAGGAAAGGCCTTTCTGCAGAGGGCACCTGCATGATCAAAAGGAGGGAGCTGAGCAAAGTTTGAGGGAAAGTGTGTGTCTCAGGCAGAAGCTCGGGGAGTGTGAAGACTCAGGTCAGGTGTGGCAGAGACTCAGAGAGGCCCATGTGGCTGGAAAGTGTAGGAAATATGCTCAGAGAGCTAGACGGGCTAGGTCATGCTGGTTTTGTTAGCCATAGCAAAGACATTTAGACTTTATTCCCACTGTAATGGGAAGCTATTGAAAGGTCTTCAGCATTATTGTAGCATGATCTGACTCACACTTATGAGAGATTAATTTTGATTGCTGTAGGGGATTGAATTGGAGGGGGAAGAAAGGAAGCAAAAAGACATTCAGTTGTGCCCAGAGAAATAGTAGTTTGGACTAGGTGGTAGCTGCAGAAGGTGTGAAATATGAGGCATATTGAAACATATCTGTATGATATAACAGGACTTGCTGATGGTTTGGATGTCAGGGGTGAAATGGGGCTAAGAGAAAAAGAGGAATCAAGGAATCAAGGATGACTGCTAGATTTGGGGCCTACATAACTGGGTCAGTGTTAGTATCACCAACTGAGATAAAGATGACTGGGGAGGGAGGCAATAGGGGGCAACGGAAGAAAAACAGTGGAGTGTATAAGTGGGACAACCCAATGCACATGAGTAGATGAATGGGTAAACAAAAAGAAGTCTCTCCATACAATGAAATCTCGTTCAGTTATGAAAAGGAATGACACACTGATACATGTTACAGCATGGCCAAACCCTGAAAACACTGTGCCAAGTGAAAGAAGCTATACACAAAAGGCCACACATTATATGACTCCATTTATATAAATTATCCAGAATAAGCAAATCTATAGAGTCATAAAGTAGATTAGTGTTTACTGGCGACTCAAGGTGGGGAGGGGAAATGGGGAGTGACTGCTTAATGGAGGTTTCCATTAGGGGTGATGAAAAAGTTCTGGAGCTAGACAGTAGAGATGGTTGCACAACATTATGAATGCACTAAATGCCATGGAATTATACACTTTAAAATGGTTGCAGTGGTAAATGCTATGTTATATGTATTTTACCACAATAAAAAAATCTGACACAACAACGAACATTTTAAAATGTATGTAGGTAAACTTGAGTTTTACTTGGAACCTATTCAATTTATGGTGCTTATTAGACATTCAAGTAGATGGAGGAATCTGGAGCTCAGGGGAAAACCCAGGGCTGGGGAAATAAATCTGGGCATCCTCACAGTAGGTAAGGTGTTAAAAGGCTGAGGAGGCCTAGGATAGACCACCTAGGAAGGCAGAGTAGAGAGAGAAGAAAGGGACTACTGCGTCCTGGACTACTGGGTACTGAGGTCAGGAATAGTAGGAGCCAGCAGAGCAGAGTGGGCACACTGGCCCCACAGAGCAATAGGAAAAGTCAGGAGGGCAAGGGCATCTCTGGAACCCAGGAAGAGAGTGTTTTGGGGACAAGGGGTGGCAAACGCATCGTCATTGCTGAGAGGTGGAGTAAGATGAAGATAGTTCTGTTTTGTGTGATGAAGTGCCCTATGATCTTTACAAAGCTGCTCCCAGTGATTAAATGCATTACTGTACTCAAAAACACTTGCATTAAATTTTTTTTTTGATCTATCAACTTCTGAAGCCACATGTATTAAAGTTTTCCACCATCATTAGAGATTGAACTATTTTAATTTCTTCTTGTATTTCTAATGTCTTGCTTTTTAAATGGTTAAGTTCTATATTAAGTGAATAAAGATTCTTTCCTCTTATGTCTTGTTAGTGAATTGTGATTTTATTTTTCTTCCATTGGGAAATAGCCTGCTTTCCCTTTAATGTTGTAGGTGTCTCTTTTGTAAATGGCATATAGCTGGATATATATAAAAACATATATGTTGTTTTTACTACAAGTCAAAACTCATTTAAAAAATACATATATTTTTATTGATTTTGGAGATGGGGAGAGAAACATCAAGATGAGAGAGAATCATTAAGCCTGAAATCTGGGCATTGCCAGGACTGGGAATTGAATCATGACCTCCTAGTTCATAGGTAAATGCTCATCCACTGAGCCACACTAGCCAGGTAAAACTCATGGAACTTAATTCATTCACATTTTTATTGTTAATATATTTAAGTATATTTGTGTTATCTTGGTTTATGTTTTCTATTCCAGTTGCTTTGTTTGCTATTTCTTCTTTCTCCCTAATGAGAGGGTTCACAGGCTATAGCTGTTAGATTGTTTTCTTTGTTCAATTTTTTTTTCTTGTAAGGTTGGCAAAGTTATGTTTTTAATTTCAGTTATTTAGATGGTTAATTTAAAATTTGAACTCTCATGGTTATACATGTGTTGTTGTTTTTTTTATCAGTATCTACAATTAATCCATCTTTATATATTCCCATTAAACAAGAAATTGCCATCTACCTTTCTCCTTCAGCCATACTACCTCTACAAGTGTAAGCAATTTTAAGTAATATTGTTTGGGGTTTTTGGACTCACCTTTTTTCTTTTATCCAACATTATTTTTTTCTTTGGATTATTTTTTGTCATTGTTATTTTGTTCAAGTGCATTTTTAAAATTAATTTATTGGGGTGACATTGGTTCAGAAAACCATACAAATCTCAAGTGTTTAAGTCAACAAAATGTCATCTGTACATTGCCCCAAACGAAGTCTCTTTCCATCCCCATCCTCCCCGCCCTCCCCTCTCCCCCCACACACACTTCTGTTCACCTCCACTAGCAACCCCTACCTTTCCCTCTGGCTATATCCACGCTATTATCTATGTGGAGAACATATTTGTCAATGATGCATCTAATAAGGAGGTTAATTTTCAAAATATATAAAATACTTATACAACTCAACACAAGGAAGACAACTCAATTAAAAAATGGACAAATAGATACTTCTCCATACTAATTGCCAATAGACCTATGAAAAAATGCTCAACATCACTAATCATCACTGAGATTCAAATTAAAACCACAGTGAGGTACCAACTTATACCTGCTAGAATAGCTACCATCAATATACCAACAAATAATAAGTGTTGGTGAGGATATGGAGAAAAGGGAACCCTAGTACACTGTTGATAGGAATGCAGACTGGTGCAGCTACTCTAGAAAACAACATGGAATTTCTTCAAAAAAATTAAAAATAGAACTGCCTTTTGACCCAGTGATCCCACTTTGGGGAATATATCCTAAGAAACCTGAAACACAAATTCAAAATAACATATGCATCCCTATGTTAATTGCAGCATTATATAAAATAGCCAAGATTTGGAAACAGTCCAAGTGCCATGGATGAGTGGATGAAAAACGATGGTACAACCCTAGCTGGTTTGGTTGAGTGGATAGAGTGTCTGCCTATGGACTGAAGGGTCCTGGGTTCAGTCCCGGTCAAGGGCACATGCCCATGCTGTGGCCTTGATGCCCAGGAGGGGGTGTGCAGGAGGCAGCCAATCAACGTTCCTCTCTCATCATTGATGTTTCTGTCTTTCTCTTCCTCTCTGAAATCAATAAAAATGTGTTTTTTTTTTAAAACTGTGGCATATTTACACAGTAGAATACTATGCAGCTGTAAAAAAGAAGGAAATCTTTTGCAACAGCATAGATAGATCTGAAGATTATTATGCTAGGTAAAATAAGCTAGCCAGAGAAAGACAAATATCATATGATTTCATTTATATGTGGAATCTAATGAACAAAATAAACTGATGAACAATATAGAAAGAGAGGCATGTTTACATGGAACAAACTGACAGCTGTCAGAGGGGAGGGGATATGGTGGACAGGATGAAAAAAGAGAAGGTAATTATTTTAGAGATAGTGTGTGGCAAAACTTCTGAGTCATAGTGTGTTAAAAAAACGTTTCCAATTTGCTCTCACACTTGAACATAAGTTTGCCTTAGTATGTAGAGTTCTAGGTTCAAAATAATTTCCCTTCAGAATTTTGAAGATATTGCTCTGGTGTCTGGCACCCAGCGTTATTGATGAGAAGTCTGATGCTAACCTGCTTCTTGTTCCTTTGAGATTTTATTCATGTGGAATTTTTCAGAATCATGTTCTATATCTGTAGGTTTCTTAAAATTCACCAGGATTTGTTAGTGGGCCCTTTCAGTCTATACGTTGTGGTTTCTTTAGCTCAAAGAAATTTTTTTTATTCTTTTCCTTGATGACTTTTTCTTTTATTAATTCTGTACTTTCTTTTTGGAGCTTTGATTATATGGATTTCATATCATCTTAGTTTTCCATATTTAAGTTTTTTCTGATATTTTACATTTACTTTGTCCGTTTTAATTTCAAATTTTGGGAGATTTCTCTTTATTTTCAGATTACTAATTTAACTTTCAGTTGTACAGGTTCCATTGATCATTCATTCATCCAACAAATGTTTAGTTAGTTCCTAGTATTATTTTAAATGCTGAGATGCAGTAGTGAATGAAGTCCTTCTACTGGATTTTTATTTTCCAACTAGAGGCTTGGTGCATGAATTCATGCACAGGTGGAGTCTGGCCAGCCTGCCCTGTTCGGGGCCTATCAGGCCAAGCCGGCCGGGGGAAAGGGCTGGGGGCAGTTGGCAGGCTGGCTCCAACCTCTGGTTGAACTCCCAGTTAAGGGGACAATTTTCATATTAGCCTTTTATTATATAGGATAGCTCTTACTCTCTAAATGCTCTTGTTGTATGTAGGTGAAATATTCTCAATCATCCATCAATATACTAAATTGACTCTTTTTTTTGTCTAAGATAAATATTTTATTCTGATCTTTTATTTTTCCAGGTCAAGTCTATTTGTTCCTTTTTGTTTATTTGATTCTCATGCTGGTTTTTGTTTGTTTGTTTGCTTTTATGGCTAGTGATTGGAGTTATTTTTTACTTGTATAAGTGAAGAACTATTATAGGTCGATTATTGTAGGTCAGTGGCATAGGTTTTATCTGTTTTGTTTGGGTGTGCTATCTGACAGACCTCTCCTCTAAATACAGATCTAAGTTCTCTGTAGGTGGTGGGCAATATTCCCAGGAAGCATTTACTTAAAGATGAGTGGGTATGGAGTACACAGGTAAGGAGGACATTTTATATCAGTTGGAATTCTTGATTATAAGTGACAGAAACTGGGTCTGGCTAATGCAGGAAAATAGTTTATTTCAGGCTATTGGTAGCTCACAGAATTGACCAGAAAGCTGAAAACTAGGCTTGGAAAATCAGCAGGAACCAAGGTGCCACTGCCAAGGAAACTCTTCAAAAATAGTTTGGTTAGGTCATTGGTTGGCCCTTTTGGGTGTCACTCCACATTCAGGTCCTGGGTGGAACAGCCAGCAAGCACTCCAATTGCTAAACCAGGAAGCAGGGTTGTTTGCCAGGCACCCACATGCGGTAGGCAGAAAAAATAGCCCCAAGGATACCCATGGCCTAATCCCTGAAACATATAAACATGTTTCCTCACATGGCAAAAGGGACTTTGCAAATGTGATTAAGTTAAACAATTTGAGAAAGGGTGAGTATCCTGGATTATCCAGTGGGCCTGAACTACAGGATTCCTTAAAAATAGAGAAGCTTTCTCATCTGTGATAAGAGGGAGACGTGACTATGCAAGAAGCCTCAGAGTTGTGTTGTTTAAAGCCATTAGGTTTGTAGAAATGTGTTATGGCAGCAACTGAAAACCAATACCACACATTTACAATATTTTCCTGCCATGGTGTTAAAGCAAGGAAGGTTTCACTCTGCACATTTTCTTCTTTCAGAAATACCTTCTCATTTCCTAACAATTCCTCCTGTGCATCCCCACCCCCATCTCCAACCCTCTCCCCTCCCCATGCCAAACGCTACTGTTGTTTTCATTCTGCCAGTTTAGGGGCAGGAGAAGCTCACTGGGCCCCATGTTCTGAATACAGTTCTTTAATAAATTACCCTGATGGTTGATTCAGAGGCTTCTTCTGTATTGTTGCAAATGTCTATCTGAATTTGGAATCTCTATGGATTTGCTCTTATTTTCTCACTAGAGGCCCGATGCACAAAAATTCTTGTAAGAGTACGCCTTCCTTTCCCTGGCTGTGGGCACTGGCTTCCCACTGGCACCCAGGACCTAGGCTTTCTTCCTCTGGCCACCCGAAGGTACCCAGGACCCAGGCCGGCTTCCCTCTGACCCTGGCTTCATCAGGAAGGACATCCGGCCTAATGAGATGTCCCTTTTATTATTATAGATTATTTAAATCATTTATTTGGTTCATTCTGACAGTAGTGTCCTTTCCAGTTTACCAGTGCTGTGTGGATTTCTTCTTTAAGAACAACACTTTCCTTTGTCAGTATAAGAAAATCTGGGTGGAAGGGCACATGGTTCTCTTATTTAGACTGTGTTCTGTACCTGGGACTCAGATAGAATTCAAAAGTTCTCTGAAGTGTGGGCCATGTGGGCTATTGTCTCAGAGCAGGCAGTGGGAGAAATGCAAGTTAATGGTGGGTTAACTCTAAGGCCTTCCGGGAGGAAGCTGAAGGAACACCTGATTGGGAGGATCCAGTGGACATCAGGGAAGCCCTGAACAGGAAAAGAAAAGACAAAACTGAGTTCAAACCTTGATTTTTGCCCCTTGCCAACTATGTAATTTTGACTTCACTTGTAACACGGGGATAACACCATCTATCAGATAGGGTTACTGCAAGGATTAAACGAGATAATACTGGTTGCTTATCATAGGCTTGGCATACCATAACATTGGATATTTACTGAGTGCATTTACATGGATTAACCTTGTTTAATCCTGATTATTAAGTCTATTATACAGATCAGGAAACTGAGGAAGAGATAATTTGAGTAAGCTGCTCAAATGTGATCATTAAGTGACAGAGCAGGGATTTGAACCTGGGCCGTGGCTCTGTTATCTGCATACTTGCAATGCTACAGATTAACCCATGGGTAAGGGCTATGCATCTGATTGCTCTTCTCTGGCTTTTAAAATTTTCTGTGCAGTTTTGGGGTAAGAACACAGATTAATTTTTTAGGAATTGTGAAGAGATTGAGTCAGCAAAAGGGGACTAAGTTGCCCTAGTAATTGGCAAGCTGGAGCTAGCAATCATGTAGGTATCTGTGTTGGCTTGTTTGCTTTATTATGCATTTATTTTATGGAGGTAAATTTTGCATAACAGAAAAATACACATATAGCTCAATGAATTTTCACATATGCTTACACTTGTGTAATCACCATCCAGATCAAGATATAGAAAGTTTCTAACCCCTAGAAGGGTCCCTTGTGGCCCCCTGCCTGCCATCATCCACCTCTGCCCAGGTCAATACTTGGCATAAGGCAGTGGTTGACAAACTCATTAATCAACAGAGCCAAATATCAACAGTACACGATTGAAATGTCTTTTGAGAGCCAACTTTTTTAAACTTAAACTTCTAACACCACTTCAAAATAGACTCGCCCAGGCTGTGGTACTTTGTGGAAGAGCCACACTCAAGAGGCCAAAGAGCCTCATGTGGCTCGTGAGCCATAGTTTGCCGACCATGGCCCTAAGATAACTGCTACACTAACCTACACTAACGGCTACACTCACTAATCATCACAGGTGAGTTTAGTCTGTTTTGAACTTCATATAAACAGAAGATACAGTTTGTGTTCTTTCATGTCTGATTTCCTTTACTTTGTTTTTTATTTTGATAAAGAACCAGTAGCTTTGCAGGCCATGAATCTGTGAGCAGATAGCTAAGAGTGTGATGCCCAAGGGCTCTGTACACAAGTGCAGCGTTTTGTGATCCGGGTCCAGCTATGGGGGATGGGGAAGAGGAAAAACCTGCCTGGGCGGGCTGCCATCTGCCCGACACCCTGTGGAGGCTCTCAGGACTCAGGGATGAACATTCCTGTACACGGTAGCTGTGAAGTGAGTGTTAGTAGGTCCTTCTATTTCTGCGGTTCCCCATGAGTCAGATTGTAAGATGGGACAACTGTGTAACTTAGCTTGCCGGTGCCACCTTCTTTGCCCTTGGTAGCTGCGGTGCAATGGAAACACTGAACTGCTCTATACACGGGGTGCAGCCTCTGGGGAACAAATCGTCCCAGGATAGAGGCATATTTGTCCTCCCTGTGAAACATTGTCTTCCATCTCCACCCTTGTGGGGATAATTCCAGCTTCTTTTCTGGAAGAGCCAAGAACTCTCAAAGTCCTGGTTGGGACTTTTTGCAGAAAAGCTTTTGAAATACAAAGAAGCTCTTAAACCTCTTACATAAGATGCAAGAACCTTTTAAACCTCGGGCATAAGAGGTTCTTGCATCTTAGAATAAGCCAAGTTTCCTTCTAGAGAGGAAAAAAGGAGAAAGTCACCCTCTCCTGCCAAATAAGTCTTCAATAGACACAAGAACAGGGCACAAATGACTACATCAATTATCTATCCTGTCTCCCTAGGTTCTGTGTCTCACCCTCTGCTGCTAACCACAGGGAAACCTGGCAAAATCACATGACAGTCCTATCGGCCCGTTTCTTCAACTGCAAATGATGCAGATGCAAACTTACAAGGACATTGCTATTAGTAATTGAAATTAGCTATTTGTAAAACTTGATACTAGGGTTCTAGTAAATATATTTTCTCTCTCTTTTTTTTTCCTTCTCTATAGGAGGAATCACCTACCTGTGTGGAAGTGTGAGTGTCTGACTTGGGTGGCCCAGATTACAGGGCTCTGAGAACAGAGAAGTGATGCATTTTGCCAAGGAGATAGGAGGCAGGCTGGGCCCGCAGAGCCTTTTCTGCCCTTTTCTTTTTTTTTTTTTTTTTTTTTTTTTTTTAATATATTTTATTGATTTTGTTCAGAGAGGAAGGGAGAGAGATAGCGAGTTAGAAACATCGATGAGAGAGAGTCATCGATCAGCTGCCTCTTGCACACCCCCTACTGGGGATATGCCCGCAACCAAGGTACATGCCCTTGACCGGAATCGAACCCGGGACCTTTCAGTCCCCAAGCCGACGCTCTATCCATTGAGCCAAACCGGTCTCGGCTGCCCTTTTCTTTATAGCTCCAAGCAGGTGAGTGGTATGATTTAGAAGGCACTGAGAGGTATCTTCGTGCTCTCAACAGTAAGACTGACCATTGGAATTACACTTCTACCCTAGGCCCTGGCTTTTCTCCTACCTTGGCTAAGAATATGATTCAGTAGGGATGGGGGAGATGAAAATATTTATTTAAAAAATCTTCAGGTGATTCTGATGACCAGTAGGTAGAGACTCAGGCAGAGATGCTCACAGACAGTTCAGAGCTACGCAGAGATGCTGAATGTGTCTCCCTGGGAAGGAGCTTGTGGGTGCCACTCTCCTGCCCCCGGTGGGCGCCGCCTCTGTAACAGCTCGCTGCAAAACAAATGCTGAACCCTCTTTTTGCCTTTTTTCATAAAAGTGAAAAATCCTCTTCAGATTTCTTCCTGTTAGCAAAAACTGGTACTAATGTATGTCTTTTGTAAAAAGCAAAGTGGTATAACACGAACTTTTGATTTCCTTCAGTTGCTTATTGTCTTTGCTGGACAATTTCCATCCAATTTCCCCACCCCTTGTCATTGTTTCAACCTGATAAAAGTGAGAACAAAATTTGTTTCTTGAGCTAGTTCCCAAATGACTCAAATAGAAGTCTAGGAGACGCTGATGTATATTCAGGAAAATACCTAGATAGATCAGATGCATTTACTAGTAGATTCCTAATTGCAGGCCATTCTCATAGATCTTTTGCAAACCATCTGGAGCTTAGAGGGTGTCTTTATTGCCCATATTTTTGAGAAAAGCTGAATACTGTCTGTGTTGCATTTGTTTTCTTGGAGGTTTGGAATAATGAAGTCATAGTGGAGGAATACTGGCTTACTGCTGTTGAGAGGTTTGATTTTGTTTTTTTACTGTCATTTAGAGCAAACAGGCAAAGTCTGACAATTACATTTCTTGGTCCTAAGTACACCAGGTTTATACCTTCTCAAAATGAATAGAGCCTTCATCGAGAGTGAATAAATGACTGTAAATCCTAAAATCCTGTCATTCCCTCCCACCTTGAACTTCCCCTACTCCCACTAGATTTTTTTTGAGACATTTTAAGTAAATCTCTGATGTCACATCATTTCTATAAATATTCCAGCATGTATCTCTAAAACATATGGACTCTTAAAAAACACACATAAGCACTCATTTGGATTTGGCACCTCTAGCAAATTAAGTTGTACTCTCAAAAGCAAAACAAAACATAACCATAATACTCCTAAATTTTTGACAAACATTCCTTTGTATCATCAAATATCCAGCCATGGTAAATTTCCTCCGCCATTTCTGAGTTTTGCTGATTACTTCCTTGTGGTGATTTTGAACAAGATCCTCTCTGTACCCTATACTTCGTATAAGTTGAACGTTAGATCTAGAGGTTTAATCTGATTTGGCTTGATTTTTTTTTTTTTCATGGATAGGGCATAATGTCACAGAAGGCCACAGAATTCTGCCACCCGTGAGGAGTAAGCCCACGTTGCTGTTTGGATGTGTTCTACACAGAGGAGCCATTCTTCAGGCGCGCTGCTCTCTCCACACCCAACAGATTTGGCTTGATTTTTGACAAGAACACTTCATAGGTGGCATTGTTCAATTCCGTAGGAAGGCAAATGATTTTAGCAGGCACTAATTATTATTGTTGAAAGATTTTCTTCTTCATTTTTGATCACCCCTCAACCCACCTATTAAGCTACAACCCGTCTTCCCAAACACAGCTCTCTTATATCCACTCCTTTGTACTGTTTTAACTGATTAGAAAATGGTTACTTGGTTGTAAGCTTGTTTCAGAGACATAATTTCCTCAGAAAATAATCAAAGGGTTCCATTAATCTTCAGCATATGTAAATGGAATTTTTCTCATTCACACTTATGGCAATATTGTTGGTTACCTATTCAAATGCTGTCCCTCCCACCCTTTTAATGTACTGGCTAGCTCTCCTCTCACTGAAGAGGCTGACCAGCTCTTTAGTTTTCAAAGCCTGACTGGTTTCTGGGAAACTCTTTCCTTCTTAGTGAGGATGTTCTCAGCTTTTTTCCTTTAAATGATGTATGAGGTTATTTGGCACTGCGGTGGTTGTCTTCTGACCATGGGGGTGAGTTTAAGGATTAACACTGTTGTGCCCAGGACAATGGGTTGGAAGTGTGGGAGGAGTCCAGGTCCTCAGTCAGTCACTGAGCCATTGAAATAGCCAAACCTGCAGATGACACCCCTTCAGACTTACTACATGAGATTATAAATTGAATCCACCTTTAGTTGATCATTTGAAGCTATAAACAACCTAACTGAAATATCAGGTGTATTCAAATAAATCTCTTTTATGTTCTGTTTACTTTTTAAAGCCCTGATATAGAGAAAAGACCTTGACCTTGAATTTCCATAAAGTCAGTCTTTCTTAACCACTCTAACAGAGTTACCCTGTTTCCCCGAAAATAAGACAGTGTCTTATATTAATTTTTGCTCCCAAAGATGCGCTAGGTCTTATTTTCAGGGGATGTCTTATTTTTCCATGAAGAAGAATACGGTACGCATTTATTGTTAAATGAAAATAAAGGAAATTTATTACCTGTATACGGTATGGTGGTACGGTAGTTGTTAACACAAACCAGACAAACTGTGAATCCTACAGTATCAAGAATTTCTCATTTATTCAATGACAATCATGTCATCATCTTCTGGAACATCATCATAATAATCCAATTTCTGAATTTCCTGGTGAATTTCTTATGACTCAATTTCTTTCAGAATCAGTGGACCAAATCTCTCATGTATAGCATAGGGGAGGCCTTATTTTCGGGGGGGGGGGGGATGCCTTATATTTCACTCAGAAGGAAACCTGTAAGTAGGTCTTATTTTTGGAGGATGTCTTATTTTTGGGGAAACACGGTAAAATGGTGATAGATAGCAAAACATATTGAATCATCAAAATTAACATTATAATGGCATATTTAAAAAAATCAGCTTTTTAAAAAATATGTTTCTATCAATTTTAGAGAAAGAAGAAAGGGGGGGGGAGAGAGAGAGAGAGAGAGAGAGAGAGAGAGAGAAAGAGAAAGAGAAACACCGATGTGAGAGAGAAACATTAATTAGCTGCCTCCTGCACAGCCCCCAATCAGGATTAAGCCTGCAACTGGACATGTGCCCTGACTGGGATTCAAACAGGCAACCTTCAATGCACAGGACAATGTTCAACCCACTACCAGGGGTCTTCAAACTACGGCCCGCGGGCCACATGCGACCCGCAGAGGAGTCTGATCCGGCCCGCCAGGTTTTTTGGGCAGTGAGCGCAGCCAAGGTGTTACAGTAGGAATTAGTAGTTCATATCGTCTGGCCCTCCAGCTCTCGATGAGGGACCGAGATCTGGCCCCCACTTTAAAAAGTTTGAGGACCCCTGCAGCCATGCAGGCAGGGCAAAATTATCAACTTTTGATAAGCTATAAGTTGAAAAGGCATACAGCAACTTAAAAGTGGAAATGGAGGCCTACAGACTTCTATGTTGGTGATAGGAACTGGAGTTAAAATATTTTCCAAGGATCATTCTTGAAGTACATAACTAAGAGTTGACTTTGAGTGTTGGCAACAAAAGGAAACTTTTCTCCTATTACGTTATGCTGGACATAACATTCTTATTAAGCAGGGGAATTCGAATTTCTGAATCTCCTCCTTTGCAACAAAACAATCCCCAAGTTTTAAACTGAATGCACAAGATTGATAGGCAGAGTGATGAGGATTTAATTTAAAAAGAGTGTGATATTTGAAATCTGATTAAGAAGATGCTATAGAAATGAAAACGTAAAGGGAAGCTGACGATCTGTCCTTTACTTGCTCTTGCTTTTTTTAAACAAAAATTGGGATATTATTGACATATAACATTAAG